TTGTTATTCCAAGTCTTTTCTACATTAAGAAACTTTCCACATTAAAAGATTACCACCTTATACTTTGGGGCACACAGTGTATAAAGACATAATTATGTGACATCAACAACCCAAAGAGGCAGATACAGAGCTGTAAAGGGGTAGAGTTTTTATACGTTATTGAAATTAAACTGGTATAGATTAAAACTAGGATGTTAAATATAATCCCCATGGTAACTACAAAGACACTATACACAAAAGAAAATAAGAATTTAAACATTTCACTATCCCCCCCAAAAGTCAACTAAACACAAAAGAGTAATGTAGGAAGTGAGGGGAAAAATTCATAAAGCATATATAAAGCAAATAGCACAATGATAGAAGTCTCTCCTTATCAGTAATTACTTTAAATGTAAATGGGTTAAACTCTTCCAATCAAAAGACAGTGATTGGCAGAATGGATAAAGAACACATGATCCAATTACATGAGCTCAAAATTCACAAACAGGTTGAAAGTATGGGAAAATAATATTCCATGCAAAAAGTACCAAAAGAGAGTAAGTGTGACTATACTAATATCAGACAAAATAGACTTTAAATCAAAAGACCTGGAAGAGCCAAAGCAATCCTGACACAGAAGAATAAAGCTAGAGATATAACATTTCCTGATTTCAAACTATATTACAAAGCTACAGTAACCAAAACAGTAAGGTATCAGTATAAAACCGGACCCATAGATCAATGGGACAGAATTGAGAGCCCAGAAACAAACCCATACATTCATAGTCAATTAATACCTGACAACAAAGCCAAGAATACTCAATAAATAAAAGGTAGTCTCTTCAATAAAGGCTGCGGGGGAAATTGGATATTCACATGCCAAAGAATGAAAGTAGACCCCTTTCTTATATCACTCACAATTAACTCAAAATGGATGAACGAATTAAACATTAACACCTGAAACCATAAAGCTCCGAGAAGAAAACACTGGCAAAAAGCTCTGGCAATGATTTTTTTTACATATGACACATAAAGTTCAAGTAACAAAAGCAAAAATAAATTAAGGGGGACCACATCAAACTAAAAAGCTTTTGCACAGAAAAATAAACGAGATTAAAAAAGTGAAAAGGCAACTTATGGAGGAAGAATAAATTTGCAAAACACATATGGAACTCATGCAACTCAAAAATCCCCCAATAATCCTCAAAAATGCAACAAAAAAAAAAAAATCCCCCAATAATCAAATTTAAAAATGGTCCAAGAACCTGAAGACATTTTCCCAAAGATGTTCAAATGGTCAACAGATACATGAAAAAGGTGCTTGATATCACTAATCATCAGGGAAATGCAAATCAAAACCACAATGAGATATTACCTCACCCCTATTATAATGACTATAATAAAAAAGGCAAGAGAGAACAAGGGATGGTAAGGATGCAGAAGAAAGGAATCTTCATACACAACTGGTGGAAGTGTAAACTGGTACACCCAATCTGACAAACAGTAAGGTTCTTTTTTGTTGTTGTTTATTTTATTTTTTAGAGAGAGAGAGAGAGAGAGAGATCGAGTGCAAGCAGGGGAGGAACAGAGAGGGAAACGCAGAAGTCAAAGCAGGCTCCAGGCTCTGAGCTGTCAGCACAGAGCCTGTAGCGGGACTCCAACCCATGAACTGTGAGATCATGACTGGAGCTGAAATCGGACGCTTAACCAACCGAGCCACCCAGGAGTCCCAAGGAGATTCTTTAAAAAATTAAAAATAGTACTACTACACAATCCAGCAATTCCACTTCTGGGCATGTATCAAAAAAAAAAAAAAAATTAAATCACTATCTTGAAGAGGTATCCGCACTCTCATGTGCATTACAACATTTACAATAGCCAAGAAGTGGAAATGATCTATGCATCCATCATTGGATGGAGGGATAAAGAAAACGTGGTATTTCATATTGGAATATTATATATCATATGGAATATTATTCAGCCATAAAAAATAAGGGTATCCTGCCATTTTTAACACATAAACTTTGAGGGCATTATGCTAACTGAAGTAGGTCAAATAAAGATAAATACTGTATGATCTCACTCACACGTAGAATTCAAAAACACCTGGAACTCAGATACAGAGAACAGATTGGTGGCTTGCCAGTGGCAGGGGTGGGGTTGGGGGATGGGCAAAGGTGGTGAAAGGGTACAAATTTCCACTTAAAAGATAAATAAGTTCTAGCGAGATGTAATGTATAGCATTGTGACTAGTTAATAACACTGTATCATATACCTCAAAGTTGCTAAGGGAGTAGATCTTAAAAGTTTTCATCACACACAAAAAGGTAACTATTGTGAGGTGACAGATGTGTTAGCTTATTATGGTAATCATTTAGCAATATACACATATATGGAATCACTATTTTGTACACCTTAACCTACTCAGTGTTATATGTCAACTATAACCCAAGGCTGGAAAAAATTTAAAAGTAAAAAATGAATCAACAATAGCTAAAGTATGGAAAGAGCCCAAATGTCCATCGATGGATGAATGGATAAAGAAAATGTGGTATATATATACAATGGAGTACTACTCAACAATCAAAAAGAATGAAATCTTGCCATTTGCAACTACATGGATGGAACTGGTGGGTATTATGCTAAGTGAAATTAGTCAGAGAAAGACAAAAATCATATGATTTCACTCATATGAGGACTTTAAGACACAAAACAGATGAACATAAGGGAATGGAAACAAAAATAATATAAAAACAGGGACAGGGACAAAACAGAAGAGACTCATAAATATGGAGAACAAACTGAGGGTTGCTGGAGGGGTTCTGGGAGGGGGATGGGCTAAATGGCTAAGAGGCATTAAGGAATCTACTCCTGAAATCCTTGTTTCACTCTATGCTAACTAATTTGGATGTAGATTTTAAAAAATAAAAAATTAAATTAAAAAAAAAAGTAAAAAATGAAATCTGTTCCCCAACTGTTAATTCCCATTTTTAGTGTTGCTTCCTTGTATTGGCTTAAGGTTTATTCTCTTGTTTTATAGCTTCTTGAGTTGCAGGCTCAATTCCCCGCCCCCCCCCCCCTAAAGTTTATCAATTTCTCATGTACCAGATGCAATAAAGGTGCTGGGGATAAAGTGCTGAACAACAACAAAATAAGGTTCTGTTCAAAATAACCTTGTATACACTGAAGAGTATTAATTTTGTACAGAGTATAGCTTCAGGCACATTCTACAAGTTCAATCATGTTTGCATTTTAATGCAATTCATTCCTGAACAATCTATTTTCATTTTTTATTTTCTATTTGATTTAGGATTTAAATACATGAGTATAAATTTCCGAAGAGGTGACAGTCTCTCCAAAGATCTTTACAATGGAGATCTGGTACCATCTTACCCAAATGATCAAATTTAGTTTTACTAACAAAGTAATGACCTGTCCTTACATGTTTTCTGACATGTTGCAATACGACATACAGACATAACCTACCAAGTATTCTCCCCTCAAAACATTTAATCTGAACCTAATGCAGCCTCTAGACCAAATTTCCTTTGTACAGAAAATACAAAAGACAGAACAAAGCTAAATGACATATAGAAACAGAAAATCTAAACACATGGCAATTTTCCTGGGCTTCTCATGAAGTCAACATTCTAAAAAATTTTTTAAAAAATTAAGGAGAAAGTTTTTAGACCAGTGACTCTCTGTAGCACATACCAAAATCTCCTGCAGAACTAGGAAAGATACAGAGGCTCAGTGGGCCTGGACCTCTGTATTTTTACTAGGAGTCACAGATGATTCTGGTACTCCAGAAAATTTTGAGTTACTATCCTAGACTAAAAAAGACTAAAGAGAGCTTAAAACCAAATATAATACATAATCTAGAATGCATGCTATTGAGAAGATGAACTCCTAAAAAAGGCATTTTAGAGGCCAATGAAGACAGGTAATATGGAATTATGGATAATTTCCTTAAGGGTAATTATGGTACTATGGCTATATAGGAGATTGTCTTTATGTTTGGGAGATACATACTGATGTAATAAGGGGTAAAGTACATGATGTCTAAAACATATTCTCAATGGGACAACATAAAATATACAGAAAAATAAATGTCAAATTGTTAACAACTCTGAATCTAGAAGGGGTATATGGGTGTTTATTCTTTCATCTTTTTCATATGTGTAGCAATTTTCATGATAAAGAGTTGGATAACATAAATGGATAGCTTTTATTTTGCTGTTCTTTCACTAATATTTATCTTAACTTCTGGACAGAGAATATAAATTATACCTTTTCTGCCTGTTGCCTTTTATAGACAAATCACTTCAAAAACTCTCCCTGATTCTTCAATAGCTGTTTTCTCAATATCTCCTCACGCACGAAATCCATAGGGTTTCTTTCCAAAATTAACTTTCTGATGTAACTTAAGGGATGAGCTCTTAATGAAAATCCTCACGTGTTCTTTACCTCCCATGAAATTTTATACGGAAGTTATTTAAAACTTAATAGTGAATGGATGATGCTTTTCTAAATGATTCACAATACACTTTTCCTGTCCTCAGTAACAGTAATGCTAATGGAACAATGTAAAAGCTATCCTCTATGAGCACAAGCATGTGCCAAATACTTTTTCAAGGATTTTCTGTGTACTGTAACACATTTATTCCTATAATTGCACTAGTACTCACTACCATTGCCATTATAAATGATGCAAAAAGAGGCTAGACACCTAGTCTAATGTCACATAGGTAGTGAAATGGAAATAAAGCACATGCCTTAGGTAGATGTAGCTTATATTTGTTCCAAGGATAGTTTTTCTCCAGTTGGGAGTTTGAAGGCTTTTCTAAATGCATGAAATTAACATACGTAGTAAAATATCTTTCATGATTAGTAAACAATGAACACGACGGCCACCCTGTATTTCTTACATTTAAAGACTCCCTCATCAGAATGTCTTCTCTACTCTAAAGTGTTTGCTGTGACTGTCAATCCTTCCACATTACTTATACTCAAGGAGTTCCTCACCAGTAGGAATACTGTGCTGTTGAGCAAATCTCAGTCCATGATGGAAGGTCTTCCCACATTCTTTTATATCCATAGGATTTCTTGCCACTGTGAACTCTCTGATGATGAGTAAGCTGTTCATAACCAGGGAAGGTTTTTTTCCCGCATTCCTTATATTCATAGGACTTCTGACGATTATGAATTTTCTGATGTCGGGTCAGCTGACCAGTCACAGTAAAGGCTTTCCCACATTCTTTACACTCATAGGGTTTCAGACCTGTATGAATTCTCTGATGGGCAATAAACACTGACCTAAGTCTAAAGGCCTTCCCACATTCCTTACATTCATAAGGTTTTTCACCAGTATGAATCCTCTCATGTTGAATAAGGTTTGAGCTACAACTAAAGCTCTTTCCACATTCTTTACATTCATAGGGTTTCATACCTGTATGAATTCTCTGATGGGCAGTAAAGACTGAACTAAGTCTAAAAGTTTTCCCACATTCCTTACATTCATAAGGTTTCTCACCAGTATGAATTCTCTGATGTACAGTAAGTTCATAATTATTGCTAAAGGCCTTTTTACATTCCTTACATTCATAGGGCTTCTCACCAGTATGAATTTTAACATGTTGAATAAGGTTTGAGCTACGACTGAAGGCCTTCCCACATTCCTTACACTGATATGGTTTCTCACCAGTATGAATTCTCTGATGTACTCTAAGTTCACTACTGCAAATAAAGCATTTCCCACATTCCTTACATTCATAGGGGTTCTCACCAGTATGAATTCTGGAATGTCCAAGAAACTGATAATGATGTCGAAAGGCCTTCCCACATTCCTTACATTCAAAGGGTTTCTCACCAGTGTGAATTCTCTGATGTACTCTAAGGTCTGTACCACGACTAAAGCTCTTTGCACATTCCTTACATTCATAGGGTTTCACACCTGTATGAATTCGCTGATGTTCAATAACTTGGTATTGATGTCTAAAGGCTGCCCCACATTCCTTACACTCAAATGGTTTCTCACCAGTGTGCGTTTTCTGATGTCGAGAAAGTTGTAGGTGAAGTCTAAAAGCCTTTCCACACTCCTTGCATCCATAGGGTTTCTCGCCAGTATGAATACTCTGATGTTGAACAAGATTTGAACCACGATTGAAGGCCTTGCCACATTCCTTACATTTAAATGGTTTCTCACCAGTATGAATGTTCCGATGTCGAGTAAGCTGTGTCAGAAGAGTAAAGGCCTTCCCACATTCTTTACATTCAAAGGGTTTCTCCCCAGTATGCATTCTATGATGTTCAATAAGTCGGTAATGATACCTAAAGGCCTTCCCGCACTCCTTACACTCAAAGGGTTTCTCACTAGAATGAATTTTCTGATGCTGAATAAGGTTTGAACCACGATTAAAGCCCTTCCCACACTCTTTACATTCATAGGGTTTCACGCCAGCATGAATACTCTGATGTTGAACAAGGTTTGAGACACGATTAAAGGACTTCCCACATTCTTTACATTCAAATGGTTTCTCACCTGTATGAATGTTCTCATGCCGATGAAGCTGGGTGAGAAGACTAAAGGCTTTTCCACATTTTCCACATTCAAAGGGCTTCTCACCGGTATGAAATTTCTCATGTCGAATAAGTTGTATATGGAGTCTAAAGGCCTTCCCACATTCCTTACATTCAAAAGGTTTCTTTCCAGTATGAACACTCCGATGTTGAATGAGGTTTGAACCACGACGAAACAATTTCCCACATTCCTTACATTCATAAGGTTTCACACCTGTGTGAATTCGCTGATGCTCAATAAGTTGGTACTGATATTGGAAGGCTGTCCCGCATTCTTTACATTCAAATGGTTTTTCACCAGTATGCGTTTTCTGATGTCGAGAAAGTTGTAGGTGAAGTCTAAAAGCCTTTCCACACTCCTTACATCCGTAGGGTTTCTCACCAGTATGAATACTCTGATGTTGGACAAGATTCGAGCCACGACTGAAGGCCTTGCCACATTCCTTACATGTAAATGGTTTCTCACCAGTATGAATGTTCTGATGTCTAGCAAGCTCTACTGGAAGACAAAAGGCCTTCCCACACTCCTTACACTCAAAGGATTTCTCACTAGAATGAATTTTCTGGTGCTGAATAAGGTTTGAACCACGATTAAAGCCTTTCCCACACTCTTTACATTCATAGGGTTTCACGCCAGCATGAATACTCTGATGTTGAACAAGGTTTGAGCTACGATTAAAGGACTTACCGCATTCCTTACACTCAAATGGTTTCTCACCTGTATGAATGTTCTCATGGCGATTGAGCTGGGTGGGAAGACTAAAAGCTTTCCCACATTGCTTACATTTAAAGGGTTTTTCACCACTATGAAATTTCTGATGGCGAGTAAGCTGGATAAGAAGTCTAAAGGCCTTCCCACATTCCTTACATTTGTAGGGTTTCTCTCCCGTATGAATACTCTGATGCTGAATAAGATTTGAACCACGACTAAAGTACTTCCCACACTCCTTACATTCATATGGCTTATCTGTATTGTGAATAAGAGAAATATGATGAGTATAAGTATGCATTTTTTCATAGCTTATTATCTTTTGACTGATATACCCCTCTTGATGTCTCTGTCGTCCCCTAAATCTATTTCTGCTTTTTGAGTCATTTCTACAATTGGAGGCCTTGAGGCCAGGAGTTTTACTTATTTGCGTTATACTCTGTTTGGGCAAATTTATTTCGTAAATATCATTTTCTGGAGATAACTTCTTAGCTCCATAATTTGACTCCAAATCTGAAAGAAAAGGAGAAAGCAAACACGTTTTATTTGTCTGTACATACACATGTACAAAATCCATTAAAGAATACATAACCCTAGGGGCGTCTGGGTGGCTCAGTCGGGTAAGCATCCAACTTTGGCTCAGGTCATGATCTCACGGTTCGTGGGTTCAAGCCCTGCGTCAGGCTCTGCTGACAGCTCAGAGCCTGGAGCCTGCTTCGGATTCTGTGTCTCCCTCTCTCTTTGCCCCTCCCCAACCTGCGCTCTGTCTCTCTCTCAAAAAATGAATAACAGTTAAAAAATTTTTTAAAAAAGAATACATAACTCTAAAAATATATAGAGCAAGAAAAATAAAAAAGATATATATTGAAAGTACATATAATATACTTTCAGAGAATATGAAAAATGATAAGAAAAGCTCCAAAAATGAAGAAAGTTTATGTAAATAAGATGGTGATACTCATAATAGGGAAGAGATTAACTGTGGAATTTAGGTATTAAGTCAAAATCCTTTGGTAGGTTTGTTACAAAAGCTGATGTTCAAGCAACTCAGATGCATAGAATCGGAATTTTTAGGAATAAGTCCTAAAATGCTGTATTTTTAACATCCCTATCAGATAATTCTGATGCAAATCAAAGTTTAAGGGTCTGTACTTAAACTGTTTTTTTTTTTAATGTTTATTTTGGGGGGGATAGGGGAAGAGAGAGAGGGAGACACAGAATCCCAAGCAGGCTCCAGGCTCTGAGCTGTCAGCACAAGCCTGACACAGGGGTCAAACCCACGAACCACAAATCATGACCTGAGCCAAAGTCGGACACTTAACTGACTGAGCCACCCAGGCGCCCCTTCTTTTGAGTCTTAAAAAATGAAAATGGTGTCTCCTATAAGCACCTCAGGCCACAGGACTCTCGTATGATGAAAACAGTCTAAGTGAAGCATGAAGTTATTGAAAAAAGGTTCTATCATGTTCTAAGCGCTGAAAGAAGGCAGTGTGGTAGAGACAGGATCCAAAGGATGGCAGTGGCTTCATAGGTGGTCTCATTATCTGTGGCAAGGGTTTTGGATTTTATTGTAAGAGTAAAGGCAAACCATTCAAAACGGTTTAAGTACAGGGGCGCCTGGGTGGCTCAGTTGATTGAGCGTCCAACTTCAGCTTAGGTCATGATCTCATGGCTTGTGAGTTCAAGCCCCACATTGGGCTATCTATTGTCAGCACAGAAGCTGCTTCTAATCCTCTGTCCTTCC